GGGGGGGGGGGGGGGGGGGGGGGGTTAAGTGATAAAGACTAAGGACTCAAGACAGTTGCAATGTTAACTTATGATTTAAGCATATGCAGGCCTTTTGACCTTGAGTCGTGCTCAAGAGTTGTGTGGGCATGGATCTCTGGATTGGTCATCATCATTTTGCATTTGGACAAAAGAATTATGATCTTCAGGCCCATCCGTGTAGGGTTGAAATTTGAGGGGAGAGCCAAGTGGGTGTGCGATAGACTTACCTCCACGTGGTGCACCCTGGAAATATGCCTTCACTATCAACATCTTATTTGGAAGCGGAGGGGTGTGTGCGATAGACTTACCTCCACGTGGTGCACCCTGGACAGCGTGCGATAGACTTACCTCCACGTGGTGCACCCTGGGCAACTTTCAACCCTTGCTGGTTTTCTAAACAATTATTCTTAAGAATACGATAGACTTACCTCCACGTGGTGCACCCTGGACAACGTACTTTCAAATGGCAGGCGTTATGATAGGTATCATGGGGTGTGCAATAGACTTACCTCCGTGGTGCACCCTGGGCAATGTATATTTAGACTTACCTCCACGTGGTGCACCCTGGGCACCGTATACTCATACGGCAAAAAAGTCTATTAACCGGCAGTTGTTGCGATAGACTTACCTCCACGCGGTGCACCCTGGGCAACCCACTCATACGGCAAAAAAGTCTATTAACCGGCAGTTGACTTATCACTTCTCATACGGCAAAAAAGTCTATTAATCGGCAGTTGACATCTCATACGGCAAAAAAGTCTATTAACCGGCATTTGACTTCTCACTTCAAACTACCACGACCCCCCAGGTTGCCATATTCGACCCCTTCCACAGTAATCATCTCACCTTTTTCTCTACCTTTGTGTCTGTCTGCCTCTTTTACATATGTGAATCGCTCTTCTGTTCCCCACCCCTCGACTTTCTGCTACTTTGATGAGCCTTCCCTCTGTGAAGCCCGAAGTCAGCTAAATGGCTAATGATATCTATCAAAACGCCTGCCATTTGAAACAAATAAATAAATGATTTTCAGAGTGTTGCATTACTAAGAAGCTCTCTTAAGTCTTTAAAAGCCTGTGGGTACTCATGAGAATTGGCGTTTAAATCACTCTGTTTACTACAAACTGATAGCCCAATGTTCCAACACTTTCCTAGATAATTCTACTTTCAGTAAAATTCAAGAAAAGAATGCGCATTTGGAAACTAGATTTCGCCTTTGAATCCTAGTGAAAGCCACAATGTTAAAAATACAACGTGGATCACGCTATCATTACCGAAACGAGTTAAATTTTGCTCAAACCAACTCACCTGAAGGTAGTCATCAAGTTCCGACCGACGTTTTTCAATGAACTCAATGCTTACACTGGTGAAGGACCTCTTAGCCGGTAATTTCAAATTCGGAATGCGGCCACACTATAAAATAAATCGGACAATATCAACCACTACATTGTTGTTAATTCATCAGTTCACAAATGTGTAAATTGGCAAAAAAGACTACCTGTTCCACAATGAGAGAGTGCAAATCGTCAAAATGACTATACCGTCGATACGTTCGCCAAGTCGTCCTTCGTTTAGTTATCGTCGATAAACATGTAACTTCCAGAGTATAGACAACGTATCCATCCCGAACCATCTCTAAAGTTAATAATTAAATATTTTCTTATTTTCAATCCAGGAAAAAAATCGATAAAAGTGTCATATAACGCAAAAAATAACCGAACTGATAACCGATGATTCAATGACTGCGAAGATGAGAGGATTAGTCTTTAAATTGATTAATTTTCTGCAAAACCCAACACCAACCAATCGAAAATGCCCTAAATTTGAAATTCAATTTTTGGTTTATTTACCATTTTCACTTCAATCGATTAAGAGCCACAGACAAAGGGCAAAAATAAGACACCTGTTTAAGTGTGAGAGACAAAAAAATGCGAAAGATGAAAGGCTTTATTTTATCACTTTTTTTTCGCTCCACGAAGCGAAAGAAAGTCGACGCAGTTAGGACAGATGGAAAGATATTAGTACATGTATAAAAAAACACGAGGAAAGCCAAAACTAGTGATAAACTCACTGCGGCTATCAGCTATGGGATCTAACAGATGCACAAAAGGGAAGAATACAATTTGAAAATCACTATTGAAAATTATTTAAGTAGAGGGCAAAGAATTACAGGATAGGGGGAAAAATCTTACCCCCAGAAAGTACATTCACGGTGTAGGAGTCGGGGAAATAAGAAACAGCGGTTTGTGGCTGAAATGGAAAATAAGTAGCAATGTCAGACAGTAATTCAGATGAGTGACGTGGGTAAAAAAGAAAATAAATGTTACCGAATTTAGATGAGTTTGAGATCCTTGAGGGGAGTATGACGATGAATTAACTAAAAAATGAACAAAAATAGGGGTCATTCGAAAGCCAATTGAAAATATTAAGACGAAAAAGAGAGCGAAAGACAATCTGGTAGGCTTCATTATACCGAAGTCTAAGTAGAATAAAGCAAACATAGATATCGCAGGAAACTTGAACCAAATAGGTCTTTATTTTAAAAATGCTATAGAAGTGGAAAGGAGATATGAAAGAGAACGAATTCTAAGAGCAAACGAAAAGAAATATAAAAAACAATATATAGACCACGGGGTGTGTGATAGACTTACCTCCATGTGGTGCACCCTGGGCAACGTATACTCATACGGCAAAAAGTCTATAAACCGGCATTTGACTTCTGACTTCGAACTACCATGACCCCACTGTATGTCTTATTCCACAACTTCGCAGTACTCATCTCACCCTTCAAACTACCATGACCATAATGTATGTCATATTCGAATATACCTGGCAGTTGACTTCAAACTACCATGACGCCACTGTACGTCATATTCGACTACTTTCACCGTCACCTTTTTTCCACCTTATCTACCTTCGTCTTTGATACACACTTCTGTTCCCCCCCCCCCTCCTATTGAATTTTTTACACTTTGATGTCCCTTCCCCTCTGTGAAGACTGAAGTCAACTAAAGGGCTAATGATGACAATCAAAACGCCTGCCATTTGATATAATAATAATAATATATAGACCACTAATTCAATAAGGAATTTGAGGATAATTATTTAGAGGCATATAGGGTGCGTGATAGACTTACCTTCACGTGGTGCACCCTGGGCACCTCTATTAACCGGCAGTTGACTTCTCACTGCAAACTACCATGACCCCACAGTATGTCATATTCGACTACTTCCAGAGTACTCACCTTAACTTACCTTTTCCTCTACCTTTGTGACTGTCTGTCTCTTTTACAGCTGTGAATCACTCTTCTGTTCCCCTCTCGACCTTTGGTGACCTTGACGTTTCTTCCCTCTGTGAAACACGATGTCAACTAAAGGGCTAATGATAACTATCATAAAGCCTATTATTTGATATAAATAAATTCCAACTAACAATAACGTCTGTGATTTGCAATACTTGCAAATAGGACATTATAGTAGGGTGTGAAGTGTAATTCAATACATTTCCGGGTATTCCTGAATTGGAACGACTTTTCGACCCCATCTCAATGCCATAGAAAACTTAAACTGGTTTATGCACCGCCTTCTTAAGCAGCGTGAAATTCTCCTTCAAAGGGACAAGTCTACTTGTAGATAATTCGAATAGACGTATATGAGGCAGGAAATAGAGCAAATATATGATGGAAGGCTTAGCGGTTCAGTACCGACGACAACCTAAGTACCAAGAGAAAGTCTTATTCTGGTGCCAAAGCAGATACTACTGCCTTACTAAACTCACTTGAAACTGCGGAAGCAGCTCTACTAAAGACGGGAGAAGAGGAAGCCGATTGTGAGAGGTAGGGGGGTATTTCTCGAGCATCCTCGCCTCCATTAGCACCTAAACGACGGGAGGATTCAGGGAACATGCCAGGAGAGGAGGAGGATTTGAAAGCCTCCACGACGCGAGTGTAATAAGAGCTCCGTTTAAAAGCACCAAAACACTGCTCGGACGAAAGTAGTTTAATCAGCTGAAGAGAAGAAAGAAAACAAATTAGCTACAATTGGTAAGATTGTGGTAAGATATGGGTGAAAAATAAGCTGACTTAGGAACCTAGTGCGTCAAATCCGAAAAATTTAACCTTTGAATTATTAGGACACACACACACCCGGTGAATGAAACACATCCAAGGACACTGATCACGTTTAATTAATAAAGAGGAAGCAGAAACCGGGCTTCTTACTAAAGAGGCTCTTCCAAAGATTCGTGCTGGAAAACGCCTTTAGCTTGGAAGAATACATTAAAGAAGGGGTCTCTGTCAACAAGGATTTCCAGTCCCTGAGGCCTTATAAAAGATAACAGCAATTGAAACACCGATTTGTTTCTTTAACATTGACAACAGGTTGCCGTATATATATTGTTCCAAGGTTAGAAGGAAACTTTCTGAACCCCATAAAGCAAATTCTCAATCCCCCCCCCCACCTTTTCAACTCCATATCCGATCACCCATGGCGTGTTTGGTTAGCATAAATGTATACTAATTTCATTACCAAATGACACCCTAAACTAAACAATGTTGTCAATAAAATAGACAAAATAATTTCACAGTATGATATTCTGATCATCAATCAATTATGTGCATAAAACTAATGATTTTAATCCTTTTCTAGCAAAAGAAGAAAAGGATTCAATAAAATCGAGAAAGAGCGAGAAATATAACTAATTTAAAAAGTACAGAGAATATGTGAAAAAAAATAAGTGGACTGTCATCGACATACCTCTTCTTCGACGATGATAAATACGTTTGGGTCAATGGAATCCAGAGGAGTAGTGAGCGCCTTCAAACAACATTTCACAATCTCCTCTGGAATTTGAGGAAGGGTCCGCATTACAAGACTGCACATAGACACCCCAAATTCTCGAATCCTGCCCATAGCTTCTTGGTCTTCATCGGAAATCTGGTTCCGTACTTGACTTTCACCTGCCTGTTGAAGTGTTAGCTCCAGTTCTGGCGTCTTCGTCTCATTCCAACCTGAATCTGGGCCAAAAGCATCGCCTTCAGGTTCATTTGTTGAGGGCGTCGAGGTTATAGAACTCATTAATTCCTCCGAATTGACTCTATAAGCCTGAAATAAGATTATCTCTACTTCTCGTTGACAAATGCCAATAAGAAATCAGTAGCAATTAGATTATCGGTCTTACCAAGCAGTTGAGGTACAAACTGAGTAGAGATTGCTCGTTGATAGATGTAAGAAATTCTAAAAGGTTTAAAAAAAGATATTAATTTATTATATGGACGGCCAAGTTCATTTGATCTCTCAAACAAAAGACATAGAGGGGTGTGCAATAGACTTACCTCCACGTGATGCACCCTGGGCAACGTATACTCATACGGCAAAAAATTCTATTAACTGGCAGTTGGCTTCTGACTTCAAACTACCAAGAGCCCACTGCATTTCATATTCGACTAATTTCACAGTGCTCACATCACCTTTTATCTACCTTTGTGTCTGTCTCTTTTACGTCTGTGAATCTGTCCCCCTCTCGACTTTTTTCCACTTTGATGTTCATCTTCCTTTCTGTGAAGCCCAAAGTCAACTAAAGGGCTAATTATACCTATCATAACGCCTGCCATTTGAAATAAGTAAATAAAAGACATAGAAGAGAAATAATACTCTTCAGGCTAGTTCAAGGAAGACACGTATTGGGCATAAAATTCCAAATCCCACCGCAATAAGTATTCAAAAACACTTGATCTGCGTAGAGGAAACGAATCGTGGAGTCATACTTTTGAGGAACCCGCATTCACTTACGCCTCTCAAATACCAGTATAAACAAGTGCGATTGCCATTCGCAATGCACGATGCACGCCGAAGAGAATTAATCAAATGACCTCACTTACATAACGGACATGACTACTGAGTTGATTTTTACTAGAACCGAAAATTCTTGTTTTAATTAGCCAATAGCTTCGTAGCTTTATGGACAGGAGGAAGATCTATTAATGGGCTTTCTCTCCTGCAGTCAGATGAGTTAGAGTCAGTTTGTAAAATGTGACATTATGGAAATGAAAATTATTGCTCTCCTACTTCAACCACATTCAAACCTGGTCTCCAGAAGAACGGCAAGGACGCATTTTTTCAAACCACGAAAGTCCTTACTGACAAGTAAGAACTAATTAAGAGGAAAAACTAAGCCGGAAATACACTCCCACGTATAAACTGAATTTACTCAGCTAGTGACTAGTTATTGGCCTCCCAGTGAATTAACTCCTATCCCAACCCCAACACTGTAGGGATGTCGATTTGAATACACTAGGTTCACCTAAACACAGTTCACAAGTATCCACTCTTGTTTAGAGATTTGACACACTTGCTAAGAAGGGGACAATGATTTTGCAATGCATGGACTGGCC